ATTCATGGCGTAAAATATGTAATTACATTGTCGTTGCATTATTCCACCCCGTTCATTCCAATGCAAAGGAAACGCAATGCAAACAAAGCAGGAGAATAACATAATCAATTACATAACATTTGCAGACTGAAAGCAGCAGCAAGTACCAATCACATTTGTGGGATTGCTTTCTGCTCCAGACACGGGATGAATAAGTGATAGGTAGGTAGGTAGGTAGGCAGGTAGGTAGGTTGATTGCTGGTAGATAGATGACAGATAGTAGATAGATGATAGATAGATAGATAGATGACAGATAGATAGATATAGATGATAGATGATAGATGATAGATGATAGATGATAGATCGATCGATCGATCGATCGATAGATAGATAGATATAGATAGATAGTAGCACAGATATGTCTAGATTGTGGAGTGACCAGGAAAAGCTCTCTTTTCCTGCTACTGCTGCTTCTGCTCTAGTGTCAAAGGGAAGCAAATGCGAATTTGATCAATGGGCTGCTGATCTGTCCCCACACGGCAATTTAACTCCAAGTAGTCCATTTACTGCTTCTGATTACGGCACGGATAAAAGCATGTCTGAAGGAAGGGCAGATGTTTCCTTGTTAACAAGGGCAGCATCAATATGGTGTGCATTGCTTTGTGAGGCAGGCGCTGATGTGTCTGTATGATCGCTCATCTCGAAGCAAATGGGAGTTACTCTTGCATACTGAGAGGATAATACAGCCCTCACATCTGAAGCTTTCTATCAGACCTGACATTAAAGGTAATGTGTTGAAAGGGCTTCTGAAAATATTTGCCAGTGCAGCTCTGCATGTGAGTGTAAATATGCAGTTTCGTGCTCAAAGGGCTATTTGTCAGGCTGTTTGCTGCGGCTTTTCTGCAAAAAAACGGGGGGAGGAGGGAGGGCACAAATGCAAATAGTGGTGCCCCCACCCTACCCCGCTCTATTTTCTCCCAGCAGTTCTTTGGAAAAGGTCATTCAGAGCCAACATAAATCTCAGGGCTTCAAATGTAAATCTTTTTCCCTCAGCGGAACGTTCGTTATCGTTTCCCCGAGATCAATTCTCCAAGAAACAAAAATGGAAAATAATAGTTATTTCAAATAATGGCCCTAACTGAGAATGGGAAGGGGGAAACAACTCCTAAGCGGATAGGGCTGCTAACACCTCTCCCCCCCCCAACCCAAATAATCCTTGATAACTAAGAATAGTCATAAAATAGCCATAAAGGTGAAGGTAAAGAGACCCCTGATCATTAGGTCGAGTCGTGGCCGACTCTGGGGTTGTGGCACTCATCTCGCTTTATTGGCCAAGGGAGCCGGTGTACAGCTTCTGGGTCATGTGGCCAGCATGACTAAGCTACTTCTGGCAAACCAGAGCTGTCCACGGAAATGCCGTTTACCTTCCCGCCGGAGCAGTACCTATTCATCTACTTGCACTTTGACGTGCTTTCAAACTGCTAGGTTGGCAAGAGCAGGGACCGAGCAACGGGAGCTCACCCCGTTGTGGGGATTCGAACCGCCAACCTTTTGATCGGCAAGTCCTAGGCTCTGTGGTTTAACCCACAGCACCACCCGCATCCCGTAATAGCCATAGTCACTCCCAATAAGGGAGTGGGTGGGTTCAACCAAGAAGTTGGGCACATGACACAAACCACTTCTTGTATGCAAGCAGCCTAATCTCAAACAGTATTTTTTGGGGGGTGGGGAGAGATCTAAATGTGAGTTTGCCCTAAGAACAGGCAACTGGTAGCCAAGGGCTTGGTATGATTCCTGGTGCACCACTGGTTCCAAAACAACCTATATTCTCCAGGCTAACTTTTGCCAACCTAGTACATTCCAGATGTTTGGGACACCGCCTCACTACGGTTATGGTGGAAACGGTAGTCCAGTATATCTGGTGGGCACCAGGTTGGCAAGGCTTGTCCTTGATACTTGGCCTGAGACCTGATCTGTAGATTCAGCAGGAGCTGATAGAGGCCCTGAGGTGGTAGAACCTGTAGCATCCTAGAATCATAGAGTTGGAGGAGCCCATGTGGGTCCTCTATGTACAATGCAGGAATCTTTTGCCCAGCGAGGGACTCGAACCCACAATGCTGAGATTAAGAGTTTCGTGCTCTACCGAGGGTCAGACTAGAGGCGAGGGGGCCATTTTAAAGCCCCCCCACCCCACAAAAAAGGCAGCCTGCAAGTTAAAAAAAAAAGGACATATCCGACACTTGAAGAACAATTTTTTCTCTTAAACTCCTGGTTACTATACTATTGTTTTACTTGCAAGCAAGCAATACACACACAGAGAGAGGAAGCATTTAAAAATGGAATCCCCACCCCAACCCATAGTCTTAACTAGTACATTCCATTCTTTCCCCCACCTCAAGGAATTCTACCACCTCCTTCCCATCTGTTCAGCAGTTTATTTATTCCATTTTCACAACTTTCCCCTAACAGTTAAGTTCAACGTTATATTCTTCTGGGACTGTAATGGAAAACAGTGCAAGTTTTAAACTGTCCCCCCCCCCCCCATTATTACAGTCATACCTCAGGTTGCAGCTGCTTCAGGTTGCATTTTTTCAGGTTGCAGACCACCGAAACCCGGAAGTATTGGAACGGGTTACTTTTGGGTTTTGGCGGTCACGCATGCGCAGAAGCCCTAAATTGTGCCTTGCGCATGTGCAGAAGCACCGAATCGCAACCCACGTGTGCGCAGACGCTGGTTGCGAATGTGCATCCCGCACAGATCACGTTTGCAACCCGAGCGTCCACTGTATTATTATTATTTGACATTTTAATTGTATTATTACTGATGTGTTTGCCATCCTGAGCTCCTTGAAAGAAGGAGCGGCAAATAAATGCAACAAAAATAATAAATAACCGTGGGAGCAGCCACACTCAATCTAGGCCACACCCATCAGAGTTACACAGCCCATGGAGTATCGGCCAAGGGTGGCCTTGGGTCAAAAAAGTTTAGCTGTTCTGTTCTGAACCTCTGCCTAGAGCCTGTGCATGTACAGCCTTATGTGTAGAGTTACTGCCCTCCCACATTGCAATGGCTTCCTCCCATATTATAACCACAGGTACTATTTTATGGTCCAACAATGAACACCTTGGAGGAAGTCAAGTTTGATTGATTTGCCCTTCCTACCGGCAACAATTTGCAAGAACCTTCAAATGACTTCTGAAGCTCACAGGTCTCAACCACGTATGTGTAATACACGAAGTTGCTCTTTAACAGTTACCCTGTTGTTAGCCAGGGAAATAAAAGCACTGGACCTTAATCTATCGTTGGCTGAGCACCTTCAAGGTCTTCTTTCTCCTTTGTTCTACATAATGAAACCAGCGGCCTTCTTTTGTGACATTTGCTCAGCAAAATCAAACTTCTGTAGGGCATGATTCATATACCTACTTTGTTTTCTCTGAATCTTCCCCACCCCCCCTAAGATTAAGGATAGCCAAACTTCCAACAATTGCAGGAAGAGCCATAGCAGAGTGTTAGAGGATATGCTTTGCATGCCAAAAATCCCAGGTTCAATCCATGGCTCCTCCAGGTAGGACTGGAAAAGACTCCAGATGACAGCCACTGCTGGTCAGTGTAGATGTGGGGCACCTGTTGCCTTCCAGATGTGTCATGGATTGGTTGGACACAGAGGAATGGTGGAAGGAACCAGCTGGAGAGTTGCCAAGGGAAGAAGGCTCAGAGCCAGGAAGGACGACAATGAGTGGTCAGAGGATGAAGCAGGAGAAGACTGGGAGGAGGCAAAGTAGGGAGCTGAAGAGGTAACAGGGCTTAGTGAGCAGGGAGATTCTGTGTCAGAGGGAAGTCCAGAATCAGGAGAGGAGGGAGGCCAAGAGGCAGAGATAAGTCAGGCTGGTGAAGAAGCCAGGGTGTCCCCCTCCTGCTGCAACAAGCTCCCCTCCATGCTGGTCTCCCAGAACCAGGAGAGGCATGAAGCGGGAGGAGCAAAGACTGAGTCTCAGATTGCTTGTGGAAAACCCTAGAGAGGAGGAGACTTAGGCAGCTGTTGGAAGGCAGGGACTTTTAGTCGCCACCCAGAGAACCAATTCTGGCACAAGAGGCTTAATGACAGCCCAGTTTCCATCCATATTTTAGATGGCTAGTTCCATTTGCACTCACCTTGCTTCTGAATTCCAGGCCCCATCTGTACTAAACATTTAAATCAGTGCCGTGCCACTTTAAACAGTCATGGCTTTACCCAGAGATCCTTGGGAACTGTAGTTTGTTAAGGGTGCTTAACAAAGGAGGCTCTTAGTCATCTTGCAGAGTGACAGTTCCCAGAAAGGCTTAACAACCAATCGGCTCCTGGAACTGTCGCTCTGAGAGGGGAGCAGGGGTTTCTTAACAACTCTCAGTTCCCTCAGCAAACTACAAGTCCCAAGGTCCTTTTGGGAAGCCCTGGCTGTTTGAAGTGGTATGGTGCTGCTTCAAATGTATAGTGCAGATGGGGGGGGGGAGCACATTATCTCAGCAGTATCATTTTTGAAAGAACGAAAACCTCCTGTCAGGGAAAGTTCTGAGCAGATGGGCTCTCACTTTCTGTCTCTCTCGTTTGTCCTTATAGGCAATAAGTTCTCTCCTGCATGTGCTGGGGCACTGCTATCTTGTGTCTGGGTTTACGCCCTCATCTTTGCAGTGGCCCCTCTGGCCAACTGGGGCAGCTATGGGCCAGAGCCCTACGGGACAGCTTGCTGCATCAAGTGGAAAGTGTCCACCAGAGAAACGAAGTTCTACATTGGGGCCCTCTTTGTCTTCTGCTACATCATTCCTTGCCTCCTGATCCTCATCTCTTACTCCCTCATCCTTTGGACTGTGAAAGTGTCCCGAAGAGCCGTCAGGCAACACATGTCCCCAAGGACCAAAGCCAACAGCGTCCACACTCTGATCGTTAAGGTAAGAGAACTAGATTGGGAACAAAGGCATAGATGGGCGCATTATTGTTATAACCATCACCATGTGTAAGTGTAACCTTCAGGTTTTTCCCTGATGTCTTAAAACTCCCTTGTGCTGGGGTCGCCAGTGTGACGCCAGCCAGCACCTCCTGCAGTGGCTCTGAATGGTCTCAGTAAATACCATGTCGAAAATCCACAGGGCATGAGAAACTGCTTTCTCTTTCCAATCAGTGCCTGTTTCTTTTTCTCTCTTTTTTTGGGAAATAATTTTTATTTGATTTTACAAATACAAAGTTATAAAAATCCAAACATATATCCATATACAGAGATTGCTCCGAATCTCACAACTTACCCTCACCCCCTCCATGGGGTCCCATTTTGAACATTTGCAATTGCATATTCTTCCATACACTAACTTTTATATCAATCCATACGGTCCGTGGTATTTGTTACACTACAAGTGGAATCAAAATCCTGCCAACGTTTCCATCTGCTTAAAGCGGTCTCCTAAATAACTTCCAAGTTTTTCCCATTCTTTTTTAAAGTTTTTGACCTCTTGGTTCCTGAGTTTTCCAGCCAGTTTTGCCAAGCTGATGGACTACGCCGAAATGGCAGCCAGTGCCTGTTTCATACCCATCAACAACTTGAGTGCCAAAACCAGGACACACATCTTCCCGTCTGAGCTCCTGCATGAGTCATGTGACCTGTGCAAGATCACAGAGCTGAGAAAGATGTGCTTTTTCAGGGCCGTGCTCACAAAAATGCACATTTTGGGGAGCTCCATGAGATTGTGGCCCCCCAAAAACGCTTTTTCCCCAGGTGAAATTGCACAAGATTTTGGCACCCAAAATGGCCGCCGTGCTCTCGTGTGAGAAAACAGAATGTACCCCCCTTTTTTTGCAGGACACTTGGCGGGTTATGCTGTTTGTGCTGGCTCAGGCTACATTCACACCAAACATTTCAATTTAAATTTTAAATCTTAATTATACCAACTTCTTATATTCATAATGTTCTTTCATGATTCTTTAATAGTTTTTAATTATCCCAGCAAATCCTTTCCTTCTATTATAAAATAAACTTTAAAATTTAAAATTTAGATCTTGACTTTACCCACTTCTTATATTCATAATGTTCTTTCATAATTCTTTATACATTTTTGCTAAAGCCAGGTAAATTCTTCCAACATTTTCCTATCATTCATTTTTCTCTCATTCTATCATTCATCAGCTTTATAAAACATTCTATTAATTAAAAAACAAAAAAAAACAAAAAAAGAGAAAGAAGCATATAATCAAGTCCAATCTTAATCCAACGTCCCTTCCTCCTGGTTTCGGGATTTGTCAGTCCTTATTCATCAAACTAACCCGGTGACCTTATGTCCGAGGCCCTCAAGTCACTTCCATGGCCCTTCCGCAGCTTTTCTTCATATTTGTGGCTGTAGTCACTTGCTCGTAGTAGCTCCAACTTAATAGTGCTTTTAACCCTTCTCATCAGATCAGATCCTTTTCCCTGTTCATCGCTGCATTCCATGTAGTATTTAAGAGCATACTTCAAGGGCCCCCCAAATTTGTGGACCCCCACATTTCCAAACATGTCGCAGCCTGTTACTGAATTTAAAAAGTCCAAATATCCCAACATAGGGGGGTCAATCCAGCCCCCCATTTCCAAACCACACCGAACTTTCCCTTCCCATATCTGATTTTTCCCAAATTCCATTATCAAGTCCGAAGGATCAAGCTCCTGTTGAGACTGTTCTGTCAAGCCACACTCCTGATTTAATGCCACAAACCCCTGTTCTGTCAAAACACACTCCTGGTTTGAATCCTGGATAGACTCCACATCTATTCCCACAGTTTGATCAACGCCTTCCACTGCCAGTCCGAGATTTCCAGTCGACTTGGCCATCTGGTTCACCTTATCATGTAGTTCTTCCAGTAGAATATTTGTTTCTTTGAGCAGGCAAACCACAGCTTCTGAAAACATTGTTGCACTCTCCCACGGTTCTTTGTAACAACTGTCAAGTCCTTGGCATTTAGTTACAGTTTCTAAAGCTCCCCCTAAGGGGAAGACTTATATTTGTTTCTGATACATTTCCATGTTACTTAAAATCCTTTATCCTTATATATTCGTTTAAAGTGCGAAAGGGAACAATAGAGTCACAAAAATTCTCTTCTTTTAACCATCTGACACACACAGATACCTTGATTTGTTCACGTCAGTCCTGACTTCCCCGCTCCAGGATCAGGACGAAAATAACTTCCTTTTACTGCTTCAAATAGTCCAAAAAAATATTCCCAATTTAAAATGTTGGATTCCACTCTTTTGAGAGCAATTTTCAAAGCTCTAGTACAATTTGACTTTGCTTTGTTATATTTACAAAAGAACGGAAGGGTGACTTCCTGTTTAGCCCTTACCGCTCCGTACCAAATTCAATCAATTTTTCTTTCTTTTTTTTATAGTCCAATTCTGCCCTTTTCACTAATCTTCCTTTAGTATCCCAATTTGTCCAAATTCTGGGTACTCACGGATATTTGTTTTAAAGTCCGAATTGTCCAGGAAAAAAGGCAGCGCTCTCCGGCAACAGCTACGCGGCTTCACTCCACAAAGAAGCAGACGACTCGCAGCACAGCGCCTTCACTTCCCCGCTCTGTTCCGGAGCCCGTTGCCGGGTTCCTTTGCAGACCGGGGGCGCAAACACACACCAAACATTTTAAAACACCGGCTTCTCCCAAGGAGTTCTGGGAGCTGCTGTTCGTTGAAGGTGCTGAGAGTTGCTAGGAGAACCCTGTTCTCCTCAGAGAAATGCAATCCCCAGAGCGGTTTAACAATCAAGAATTGGAGCTTTTAGTTGGAGTCCACCCTGTGGCTTTCCAGATCTTGTTGAACTACAAGTCATCCCTGACCATGGACTGAGCTGGCTGGGGCTGACGGGAATTGAAGTCCAACATAAACTTCCATATGGGCACATAATGTTCGATGGCAGCCATTTGCTTGCTTCTAAATAGTGCATCTGATTTCCATGGCATCCTCACCACAGGTAGAAATGCAGCCTTTGGTCCTTACTTGTGCTGACAGTTTGTTCTCTCAGAACCCCTTGGGGACAAAGTATAACAAATCTCCAGCACAGAGTATTATTACTTTTTTCAAAAAAAAGTTTCACCCACACATATTTCCTGTATGCCATATGGTGGCGGGTGGGGGAGCAGGGAAGTGATACATGCTCTGGAGTGAGCAAAAGTAAAATATAACCGGGCTCTTCTATCACACCAGGATGATTTGCTCACTCATGTTGCACGGCTGTCTGTCACGACTTGACAACTTAATTTAACTGTGCATACACCTTACCCTCCTGATTTGCAAGCGTTTTGTCATCGGTAGATTAAGGGCTGCTTATCTGAAAAAGAAGAGGAGCTCCAGGGCTTGTTTATAATCCAGCCGAGTGCACTAACCAATTCACAGGTTCAGTTAATTAACTCATTAATTACAGACTAATGCAATTAATATACACATGCACAGAATATTATTTGCAGCCGCAATGTATAGCTCCTCATCAGAGGTGAGAGAGGTCGGTTTGCCGGCTTGCTTTTCTTTTTTTGCAGGCAGCTGGTGCTATTTGATGGTATCCTGCTTCTAAGGTGAGATAATTAAAAAGCAAACTAGTTTATCATACACGAGGAAGGGTCGTAGCTCAGAGTTGGAACGTCTGCTATGCATGCAGATATTCAATCCCTGGCTTCTCCAGGCAAGGCTGGGAATGTCCCCTGCCTAAAATCCTGGAGAGACCCTGCCAGTCAGTGTAGACAAGTACTGAGCTCCATGGATCAGTGGCCTGACTCAGTAAATGGCAACTTCCTATGTTCCTATTGGACTCACTGGGTTGCTGGGTTCAAGGAGTTGATTTTCAAAATTATGTCCTTTCCTCTGGAAAGACGCTTGCCCACATTGGATGAAAGCGACACTTAAAAAAGGAGAAACCCTCACTCCCCTCCTTCATTGTGCTGATACTTGCATAATTCCCTTCCGTGATACGGACTGCAGCAGATTAATCTCGCACCAGCACCTCCTTGGGCATATTACCTACCTAAAAACTGGATTAATCTGCATCCTCTCCCCGGGGGAAATGCAGTTCTGTGAGGAAGTTATGAACGTTTAACAAAGAACTCTCAGCACTCTCATCAAACCACAGTTCCTTGAATTCTTCACAGAAGCTGGGAAAATCCCATTCCTTTAAAACTAAGTGCTCATCCGCACAGGAGTTTAACATGGATTAGAAGCTGCTTTATCTCAAGGTTTGTTGTTGTTGCATCCACATTATGTCCTCATCTAAGCAGAAGTCTGCACTCCCTCCTCTCTGCTTAAATTTTAATTTTCCCAATCTGCAGATAAGCCTCTGTCTGCCTGGACATTATTTGCCCTCGCAGTGTGTTCCTTAGTGGGCTGCTGGCTCTATATTTTGCGGAGCTGGGTGAAGTACACATTTTTGTTTTAAATGGTTTTGTGTCTAATATAAGTTTGGAGTGCATTTCTCTATGTGTGTGTGTTGTGAGCTGCAGAGCTTTGTACTGATTCATCGCAATATCTGCAGATCTTACAGTGACTCCTTGCCAATATGCCATGACGCTCCACATGCAGAGCCAGATTAATACATGTGCGGCAAATGGTGTATGAGCATACCGGAGTCAAATTCGACAGTGGATGAGCCACGGAGTCTTGGCATGGGGTAAAGTGCCTGCAGGCTGTTCTACCATTTTTAAATTGGTTGTTGTTATGTACTGAAGTTCTCACCCTGGGCCAGCAGGGGGATACTGTAGATAGTTTTCACTCAGGTCCACATATGCAAATAAGGGATTGAAAGTGACGTTCAGTGATTGGATAGTTACAGAAAGTGTTACAGTTGTGTTGTAGTGGAGCTCTGTATAAGCAGGCTGGCTGAACCCTTCAGTTCAGTTCTGTTCTGGCCTGTGAATAAACAAGAGCTGTTTGAAGAATCGCTGTGTCGTCTGATATGTTCACCCACAACTTAACAGTTGTCCTCTCTCTCTTCCAGCTTAGTGTTTCTGTGTGCATTGGATTTCTTGCTGCTTGGACCCCCTACGCTATTGTTGCCATGTGGTCAGCATTCGGCGACGCCAGCCAGGTGCCCGTCCTGGCCTTTGCCCTCTCTGCTGTGTTTGCCAAGTCTTCGGCAACCTACAACCCTCTGGTTTATCTGTTCTTCAAGCCCAACTTCCAGAAGTTCCTTTCCAAGGACCTCTCCCTGTTGCAAGCTGTCTGCACCGTCTTCTGCTGCAGCCGGCCAAGGGTTATCACCCTCCAGTCCTTCCACACCCGAGATGGCCGGGCTTCCATGAAGTTCTCCACCGCTTTTACCGACCACCGTGGATCCTGCAGGAACTGCACAGACACTTTTGAATGTTTCAGTAACTATCCCCGGTGCTACAGGCTCTCTCCGAAGTCGGACACGACCGCCAAGGCCAAGCCGCTGGCGATCCTGGCAGACGGAACGACTTGCCGGCCAAGTCTGAAGAGAACCGTGCAGGTCATGGTGCTCGTGACGAGGAAGAAGACCGGGATGGGGACTAGGAGTGTGGCTGGGGATGTTCTGCCTTCAAATATTGTCAGAGATCTTATGTGAGCGAGGGTTCGAAGGCAGGGGGAGCCCCCTTTCTGCCTAGACCAATCAGGAATGTTTGGTTGCCATTTCAAAATCCATTTTCTTCTCCATATGTATAGTTGTTTCCAAAGTGTGCTTTGCAGGCTAGGGGATACTGCAAATCTTACACCAGCATTCCTCGCCCCTCTCAGAATTCCCCTCCATTGTTTCTTTAAACAGCTGCAACTTTGTGCCAACAATTTTGCACCTGTTTCCCCCCCCCAAAAAAAAGATCAATAATGCAGAGCAAAAAAAATAAAAATAAATCCTGCCTCTTCATAGGTTCCATTTGGCATTTGAGACGTCACAATGCCACTACAGGCAACTCCCCACTTGCGCAAGATGTCCTTGTGCATAACTGCGCATGCGCACAACTTCTCTTTCTACTCTGGGGAGGGTTTCCTCATTAGGCAGAGGCACAATGGGGCTTTTGTTGAGGCTGCTCAGCTGACACGCAGTAGTTCAGCTGACCTCACACATCAGCTGTTAGCTGGGGAGGCTGAGCAGCCTCAACGAAGCCCCGCTGTCCCTCTGGCTCCTGTGGAGACCCTCCCCAGAGCCTGAAGAGGACATCTTCTTTGAGCTCTCAGAAGGGTCTTCTCAAAAGCCGCAAGGACTCTCCAGGGGGCTCCCCACAACACACATTTCACTTATGCACCCAGGGCCCCGGAACATAACCCCTGCATAAGTGAGGAGTCGCCTGTATTGATGTGAGGCATAAATTTGAGTTTTGGTTCCACCCCTGTGCAGTCTGCAGCATGCTAACGTTCACTTGCACAACTAACGTTCAGGTCAATCCAAGCAGTTGCTATTTGGAGGCAGGTACAATTAACCGCTCGCATAATTGGACTGTAAAAGATTAATCCAATCGAGCTGCGTCAGCTGCAGCTCAAATGCAGAGGATCAGATCATCAGAGGTGTGCAAGGCCATGTGGATTGGTTGAACATCTGTTCAGCCAACCCATGCCTTTGGAACGGCAGGCAGGTGCAACGGCTCGTACAGTCATGTTGTTCATGTCTACAGTGGTGTCACCGTTAGGTTCTCCTCTGCACCACAGTTCTCCTTTTAAAAGTTCATCCTGATCCAGCTGCAGGTGCAGACACAGCCCGTACTCATCTAATTCCCTACAGCAGGGAACCTGAGGCCCTTCAGATGTTTTGGACTACAACTCCCATCATCCCCTGCCGGCACAGGGGCTGATGGGAGTTGTAGTCCAAAACATCTGAAGGGCCTCTAGTTGACGAAGACTGTCCTGCAACATCTTTCTCTCCCTCTCCCTCTGTTGTTACGCACACTATCATGGTTAATTTTTTTAAAAAAAACAAAAAACTGAAGGAACACAACTCTCTCTAAAGGCATTAGGGTGGGAAGCTAAGAAATCTGAGGTGCTATTCCAACCAACTTCTCACCCTGACTTCTGTGGTCTCCATTCAGTTGTGGAAACACACAGCGAAGGTGCTTCGTTTCCCTCTCTTGCATCTGAGGGGGAATAACAATATCCCTCTACCTCATAGGAGAGGCTTGTTTAGTAGATGAAGCAACCTCATGTTTACAGTGCTTTGTACACGACAGCATTCAGTATTGCTTCATCTGATTTTCCGAGGCCATCGATACTGTAGAACGCAACAACCGCTTGTGGCCCAGAAATAAAGGCTCGTTCTACATGGAAGAATTATGACCAATGGATATTAGTCCACGCCAAAACAAGGCATAGAAGATACTGGACTCCAAGGACACAGCATCCTTTCTGGCCGGACTGCAGTCTGGGTTTCACGACGAGCTCGCCCAGTGTTTTTGCCGTCGTTTTAACAATAAAAGAAGGCAGGACATTCCCAACAACTGAGGGGTGAGAAAAATCGTTTTCAATGACAACGCCGTTTGCCCTCCCTCAGTGAGTCAATGAGAGCAATCCCGTCAATTTTAGTCTGGCACAAATGAACAAACCTAACCTCAAAGAAAAACCACCACAGCTATCAAACTAGCTAGGACTCTTTTGGAAGCGGTCATTGTGGCAAGAGACAAACCTAGAACCTTCTCTCTGGCTAGCGCACGGCGATGCCCTGCTCCTCAGGCTCCATCTGGTGAAAAGGTACAGTTGGGCCAACAGAGATACAGTATTGAGAATCAGATTCTTTTTTACAAAAATAAAATAAAATGCAGAGCAGCTCTTTCAAAAACAACATTATGCTTTAAATAAGAGGGTGCACACAAGAAGAGCTGCAAACCCCAACAGATACCACTTCCCTTCCTTTGACAGGGGAAAAAGATGGGCTGCATGGTCAGCAGAGTTGTTCCACATCTGCAGTGTGGATTAGCACCAACCCATGAAAATTAGCACAGCAATTCTGTCCATGGAGATAGAAAGGCATTCAGTCAATTTCACAGGAAGCAGCAGCTTTAAGCCAATTCAGGCTATTTATCTGTTTGGCCACCCAAACTGGCGGCAGGTCTCTGAAGCAGAGGTTGAGGAGCCCTCGAGGTATTGATGGACTGCAACTCCCATAATCCTCAGACCCTGGTGAAGCTGGCTGGGCTGATGGGAGTTGAATTGTGGCGGCATTTGGAGGACCACAGGTTCCCCATCCCAACCCTTGCGCTAGTGTTTCAGATGGAAGTCTTTCCCTTCCCCTGCTACCAGATCCTTTGAAATGGAGAAGCCAGGGAGTCAACTTAGGCCCTTCTGCATGTAAACCATGCTGTGGCTCCAATGATTTGGTATTGACCTCTGAGTTGACAGTGGGAAAGGTCAGAGTACATCTGGGACAAGACGATGCTTTCAACCCAGCTCAAGAGCGGTCCATGAACCCAAGCTACTGCCCCAAACCCAGTGCCCATGATCCTTCCCCATAACATTATTGCAAACTCAAATTTGGTGGGTTTTGTGTGGTTTTTTCCCCCTTTTGCTACTCCACCCCCAATTACCATGGTTGTAATAAGCCTCCTCTGCAGTTTTTGCACATCTCATTTCATCCTCGCCATCTCAAGATTGCTTTGCAGTCAGCAATCCATCACATGTCCTGACATCTTTGCCGCAAGGTGGGTGGGCTTATTATCCTTCCCCATTTTGGGAAGGTGGGCGAGCAGAGTTTGCACAGGGAGATCCAGCAGTTTTCTCAGCATCGCTGCAATGAAGTCTGGGCCAGAGATGAGGGGAAAGGAAGCCAGAGCCTTCCAGGGGTCATTAGCCTGGGCTCGCCTCCCTGCCTCCCACCAGCACCAGCACCCCGATGGCGAATGAGATGCTTGTTGCCACTGTGTGTCCTATCAATTGTCTGGTATCATTAGCAGCTGTGCTGCTCCACATGTGCAGCTTATCTGAGAGCCCTGGAGGGAGAATAAGGCACTTAACGAAAGAAGCTGGGAAACAGTTTTGCTCCGTAGTGAGCCACAACAGCAGAGTCTCTCCCACAGCCTAGGCGTCTGCCATACCACTTTACTCTATATTCCTTGCACAGGGTAGGATAAATTACCTGTCTTTCTGTATTCTATAATCTGATTCTCATCTCCTTCTGCTGGATTCCTTCTCTGGAGATACAGTCATTGCTATTCTCCAAGTGAACTCCTGTAGAAGAAGAAGGAATGTTGGAACTGTACCTTTTTTCGTGTAGACCACCAAACAAGAATTTGGGAGGCAGGCTGTCGGGGAGATACTTAGGTGATAAGCCCACAGTTTTGTCTCTCCAAAAGTCCCCTCTATTCCAGACAGGCTGGAGGAAAGACCTTGCTAATCGACCACTTCTACAAAGCTAGGAAAAACAAAGGAGAAACCAGGGCACCAGAGACGATGCAACACGCAAAAAGATTTGTGTCCAGACACCGGCAGAGAAGCCAGACGGGCTGCCAACTTGGGATGTCACAGCAAAGGTTATCAATCTGCCTTTTGCTCCATCAGACCGTTAGTCTACCAAGCCCAGCACTTGTCCACATTGACTGGTGGCAGCTCTTAAAGGTCTCAGGCAGGGATCACTCTCAGCCCCGTTGCAACCTGAGATCCTTATAAACCAGAGACACCAGGGATCGAACCTGGAACTTTCTGCATGCATAGCATGTTCTCTCCCACTGAACAACTGCCCTTTACAAAAACACACACAACAACAACAACCTGCCCTTGCTTCCACTTGATTAAGTTCATTGTGCTTATGCGGTGTTGAGTAAGGCTGAGAGGAGGAAATGGATATTCCTTTTTAAAAAAAAAACGAAAACGAAAAACAAACTATGCAGTGGGAGTCAGTCCAGGCCAAGAGAGAGAGAGAAACCCCAGACAATATCTGAAGTGCTTTCCTCTTGTTTAACTGGGGCACAGAGCAAGAGATCTGTAAGCACGTCACTGTTGGCAAGTAATCTCCTCTGCTTCATTGAAGCATTTCTCTACACAGGGGAGATAATGTCAGAAGAATAGCTACATCCAAGGAAGACAAATGAAGGGATACAAAGGGGAAAAACAAAAACCAACCACAAACCAGTGGCTTTCGCTATTGGGAACACGTCTACGAGACACATGAGACACCCGTCAACCTAAGATGATCAGGATAGGAACCTTCCTCTCTTGCCCTTTGTAGTGGAGGGGCACAGTTTGGAGCAACACCGCTCCTGTGGTTCCTCCATCTTGTCAATGTTTCAAAGCAAGGCCAGCTGAGGGCCAGCTATTTGTGCAATATATTATTGGGCATTTGCTAGCCGTTTCAGTTCTTAGCTAGGTTAATATGCTATTGCACCCTCTTTGCAAAGCAAATATTTATGCAAATATGCAACTAGCTTATGCAAAAAAAGAAAAAAGGAGGGAAAGGAACACCCACAGAGTGATAACACTGGTGAAGCATCAAATGGACTGACAGGAAACACTTCCGAATTAGGGCATCAGGCCCTGTAAAAGAAACCGGGGTGAGCTGTCTTCTGGTTGGCAACCAAGACAGGAAGTGGACACAGTCTTCCTTCCATGATACCACATGGGCAGTATAAATGCAATGGAGATTCCTTCTCT